ACACATTCATTTCACTGTCCTTTTCAAAACTCATATTCACTCCAGAGAGACAAAAGAAGACCACTGTAAAAGCACATTTTTTCACCCCTAACAGATCCTGCTAAGTAAGACAATCAAGCATGGGCCTTACAGATAACTTCTGTCTGAGGAAAATAAGACACACCTGATATTTCCTGAAAAACCCGACCGCATTTCTTTATTACAGTTAATGGACTGCCAGAAAAAGAGATGCCTATATTAATTGCAACTTTCACATTGGGAATGTATCTAAGTGACTGAGACTATGTGGAAGATAAAGACAGATTCTTGCTAATACAATTTATTGAGTTACAGTCCCTGATTTTTACATCTGCTTCCCCATGAAAACTCCAATCTTGTGCTGTGGAGTCGACTGAAGCAAATGATTTCTTGCATGCCCTAGCATGGGCCCAATTTGCATTTAAACTTAACACAGTGATAAGGTGATGATGTTTGTTTATTTCTGCTTTGTATTATAACAAAACAGAGTAGAACATTTTGGAAATTATTTTCGATCTGAAGCCAAACAAATTCAAAATCTGACAGGCAATTATTTTTAGGGAAAAGAGTAAACAAAGAAACAGGAATGTGTCATACTTTGTTACACATCTTTAAGGACAATAATTTGCAGTATAATATGTTACTTAAAATCTTTCTTTGACTAAACCATTTTTTGTTCCCACTACTAGCTTAACTCCTGCTGAACTGGCTACTTTGCACAGGCTACTTCTTATGTATGAACAGAAATTCAGTCAGATACAAAAAGTCTTCTGGAAGATGTGTTTAATAACCCAGCAATATTTCACGGAGTTCCAAATCAGAGCCGATTATATTCTGTATCAGCACAGTTGCGCAGGCATACAGTGGATTCCAGAGGGCTAGTACATGAGATGGAATCTTGACACTGTTCTAGATACTGACTTCTCCAAGCAGATACACTATATTTTGTATTTCACCTGTCACAGGAAAGAGTTAAGATACATAAAAATGCAGATAAATCTTTCTTTCTTTCACATCAATGTATTAGAAGATAGTATAAGAATAAATACATTATTTATGTGACTGGCATTTCTCTGGGCTGAAATATACAACTTATTTTATGCTTTGTGTGAGGTTCATAAAACCAGATATTTCTATCATTTGTAAAACTAAGACTCTCTAAGCCCAAAAGTATAAACAGATTGGCCCAGGGTACCCTAAAAATGAGAGAGAATGATCATTCTAATAGCGTTGAGCATGTCTGGTGTAGTCAGATTTTCACAAAAACCTCTGCCATGCCACTAAGCAGTCAGAAGCAAAATGTGCCATCTGCTGCTACCACTTTTTTCTCATTGTTTCCAAAAGCTAAGAGAAATCTAGCCAAAACAATGAATTGTCCAAACTTAATAGAGTTTAAAAGTAACAAAAACCAGGCAGCCTGAGGCTGCAGAGTGTGTGTGCAGAAGAAGGGTCACATAAGAAATACATATTCAGGCTTGGGTGGCTTCCCATCAATAAACCAAACCTGTTGCCACTTTGCCATGGGTGTGTCAAGAGCACAGCATCTTCAGACATCTTTAGCCTATGTAAACAGAAGAAATAATGTAAAACAAACTTAACAGATTATGCCTTATTAGGTACACTGATCTCAGCAAGATTACATTTCAGTGTGCATTTTGGTGAAATGGTTACCATAGGGGCAGGGCTTAAGCGCTTTCTTCTCCAAATCTTGAAATTTGGAATGCCACCTTACAAAGCTTTGCTCAGGGGGATTTATTTTTTTTTAATATATGGATATATATATATTTTTAGCTATGAAAAAAAAACAAAACAGTTAAAAGAGAAATGTGGTATGAGAGAGGAAAAGAGTTATGACCAATTCAAAATCAGCCATCTTTAGACAACTGGATATTTTCTTTAAAGATACTCTTTTTCTTACCATAGAAAAAATTTTGATCGGGAGAATTCTTTAAGAGTTATAATTCTGGACTATTGCAGTTGGTGCTTGATGTCAATATAGCTGTACTGGATAAAATCTCAGGGCTCTGTCTTTCCAAATAGAAATACAGAAAATAATACAATTTGCTTTCTGCTTCCTTTTTCCTCAGCTGTGAAAACTACTTTTTCTTCAAACGTTATTGGTCAAATTCTGAAGTCAGCATGATTTCTAAGGTAGTGATAAACATAATTCAGTCCAGTGGGTTCCCACATAGGCAGCTCAGGCGGGTACTGTACTATAACTTTAGAAATTACTAAAAATGTGTGGGAGAAAAGGTAAAATTAATGAGACTAGATCATTTGACACAAGATTAGTTCCATGTAGCAAAGATTTATGGGACTACCTGCTGTTACATTTCAAAGGGGCGTCACTCAGAAGTTGCAGAAATGCTACTGCTGGTAGACAATCGCCTGTGCTTTTGGCATATCACAGCGTACTTCTTAACTGACTGCATTATAGCCCATGTACACATTCACATGAAGAAAGACTTGATTTCTGACAAGTGTTTTGATAAAGATTTTCACATGATAATGGTGAAAAAGTGTTTCCATCATTCCAGTTAACGGAAGCATCTTGGTTTAGACACTGGATCAGATAGCAGTTTGATTCATTCAAATGTCATTTTATCTCCAAATCAATTTCAAGTCAATGCAGTGATTAAATGCACTCATTACATATTCTCTTTTTCCAGACAGAAATGTTATGTCTTACTGCTAGAAATGTAGCTCCTTTCAGCATCTTCAGAAGCAACCTGGGGAGAAAATAATACAAGACATTTTTTTCCTTCACAGTTTGCTTAGGTATTTTAGGTGTGATGCTCAAGTGTTACTTATGACTGAGACTTTTTTCTATGTGTAGTGTTACGTACCACCACTGGCTGAACCCAGGACAGAGGTATAATTTAAATAACAATGGACCCAGAAGAAGAACAACACACCCAGTCAGTTGCCAGCACCTATAATAAATGCTCGGAGGAATGCAGAGATATTCAAGCCACTCCAGCCAATGAGCTGGCTTTATTTGGAGCTCGGCCCAGATGCCTCTATACAAACACCGGTAGCATGGGGAACAAACAAGAGGAATTCGAGATGTTTGCATGTCTATGGGGGTATGATATAATAGGCATCACAGAAACATGGTGGGATGGCTCCTATGACTGGAGTGTTGGAATGGAAGGTTAAAGGCTCTTTAGAAAAGACAGACCCGGCAGGCAGGGAGGGGGAGTTGCCCTTTATGTTAGGGATAGACTGGAGAGTATGGATCTCTGTACTGCAGGACAAGGGGTAACGGGTGAAAACTTAAACAGGGGAAGTTTAGATTGGATATAAGGAGGAAATTCTTTCCTGTTAGGGTGCTGAGGCACTGGAATGGGTTGCCAAGGGAGGTTGTGAATGCTCCATCCCTGGCAGTGTTCAAGGCCAGGTTGGATGAAGCCTTGGGTGAGATGGTTTAGTCTGAGGTGTCCCTGCCCATTGCAGGGGGTTTGGAACTTGATGATCTCAAGGTCCTTTCCAAAACTAACTGTTCTATGATTCTATGATCTTTGTTGGTGACATGGACAGTGGGATTGAGTGTACCCTCAGCAAGTTTGCAGATGACACCAAGCTGTGTGGTTCGGTTGATATGCTGGAGGGAAGGAATGCCATCCAGAGGGACCTTGACATGCTTGTGAGGTGGGCTGATGCCAACCTCATGAAGTTTAACCATGAGAAGTGCAAGGTCCTACACCTGGGTCAGAGCAATCCCAGGCACAGCTACAAGCTGGGCAGAGAAGAGATTCAGAGCAGCCCTACGGAGAAGGACTTGGGGGTGTTGGTTGATGAGAAAATGAACATGAGCAGGCAGTGTGCACTTGCAGCCCAGAAAGCCAACCGTATCCTGGGCTGCATCAAAAGGAGCGTGACCAGCAGGTCAAAGGAGGTGATCCTGCCCCTTTACTCTGCTCTTGTGAGACCTCACTTGCAGTATAGTGTGCAGTTTGGTGTCCTCAACATAAAAAGGACATGGAACTGTTGGAACAAGTCCAGAGAAGGGCAACGAGGATGATCAGGGGGCTGGAGAACCTCCCATATGAAGATAGGCTGAGAAAGCTGGGGCTATTCAGCCTGGAGAAGAGAAGGCTGCATGGAGACCTCATAGCAGCCTTCCAGTATCTGAAGGGGGCCTATAGGGATGCTAGGGAGGGACTCTTCATTAGAGACTATAGTGATAGGACAAGGGGTAACAGGTTAAAACTTAAACAGGGGAAGTTTAGATTGGATATAAGGAGGAAATTCTTTCCTGTTAGGGTGCTGAGGCACTGGAATGGGTTGCCAAGGGAGGTTGTGAATGCTCCATCCCTGGCAGTGTTCAAGGCCAGGTTGGACGAAGCCTTGGGTGGCATGATTTAGTGTGAGTATCCCTGCCCATGGCAGGGGGTTTGGAACTAGATGATCTTAAGGTCCTTTCGAACCCTAACTATTCTATGATTCTATGATTCTAAGGATGATTTCAAACTGGGCCCTGAGCAGCAACAAGCTCTTAAATTAAAAGAGAGATAGTTCCTGCAGTAACACTTGTACCAGTCCAGACTGGGCCAGATGTAAAAAATGTGCTCTACACTACAGCTGGGGAGAATGGTCCTACCTGGAGCCTCTGGCAGAAAGCTCCAGGGGAGACTCGAGGTCGACCCCTCGGCTTTTGGAGTCGGGGATGCAAAGGATCTGAGGCCCGCTATACCCCAACTGAGAAAGAGATACTGGCAGCCTATGAAGGGGTTCGAGCTGCTTCGGAAGTGATTGGCACTGAAGCACAGCTCCTCCTGGCATCCCGGTTGCCCGTGCTGGGCTGGATGTTCAAAGGCAGGGTCTCCTCTACACATCATGCAACTGATGCTACATGGAGTAAATGGGCTGCACTAATTACACAATGAACTCAAATAGGAAATCTCAGTCGTCCAGGCATTCTAGAAGTCATCATGGACTGGCCAGAGGGCAAAGATTTCGGAATGTCACCAGAGGAGGAGGTGGTGCGTGCTGAAGAGGCCCCACCATATAATAAACTGTCAGAAAGTGAAAAGCAGTATGCCTTGTTTACTGATGGGTCCTGCCGTATTGTGGGAAAGCATCGGAGATGGAAGGCAGCTGTATGGAGTCCTGGACGACAAGTTGCAGAAACTGCTGAAGGAGAGGGTGAATCGAGTCAGTTTGCCGAGGTGAAAGCCATCCAGCTGGCCCTGGACATTGCTGAGCGAGAAAAGTGGCCAGTACTTTACCTCTATACTGACTCATGGATGGTGGCAAATGCCCTGTGGGGGTGGTTGAAGCAATGGAAGCAGAGCAACTGGTAACGCAGAGGTAAACCCATCTGGGCTGCTGCACTGTGTAAAGATATTGCTGCCAGGGTGCAGAACCTGGTGGTGAAGGTACGTCATGTATATGCCCATGTACCCAAGAGTCAGGCCACTGAGGAACACCAGAACAACCAACAAGTGGATAAAGCGGCTAAGATTGAAGTGGCTCAGATGGACTTAGATTGGCAACATAAAGGTGAATTATTTTTGGCCCGGTGGGCCCATGACACTTCAGGCCATCAGGGCAGAGATGCAACATATAGACGGGCCCGTGACCGAGGGGTGGACTTAACAATGGACACTATTGCCCAGGTTATTCATGAGTGTGAAACATGTGCTGCAATTAAACAAGCCAAGCGGTTAAAGCCTCTTTGGTATGGAGGACGATGGTTGAAGTATAAATATGGGGAGGCCTGGCAGATTGACTATATCACACTCCCACCAACCCGCCAAGGCAAGCACCTTGTGCTTACCATGGTGGAAGCAACCACCGGGTGGCTGGAAACATACGCTGTGCCCCATGCCACTGCCCGGAACACTGCCCTGGGCCTTGAGAAACAGATTTTGTGGTGACACGGCAGACAATGGGACTCATTTCCGAAATAACCTTACAGACACTTGGGCCAAAGAGCATGGCATTAAGTGGGTATATCACATCCCCTACCATGCACCAGCCTCTGGGAAAATCGAACGGTACAATGGGCTGTTAAAAACTACACTGAAAGCAATGGGTGGGGGAACTTTCAAGCATTGGGATACACACTTACCAAAGGCCACCTGGTTGGTCAACACCAGAGGATCTGCCAACGGTTGGCCCAGCCCAGTCAGAACTTTTACATACTGTAGAGGGGGACAAAGTTCCTGTGGTGCACATAAAGAATTTGCTGGGGAAGACAGTCTGGGTTATTCCTGCTTCAGGTAAAGACAAACCCACTCGTGGGATTGCTTTTGCTCAGGGACCCAGGTATACTTGGTGGGTAATGTGGGAAGATGGGGAAGTCTGATATGTACCTCAAGGGGATTTGATTTTAGGAGAAAACAGCCAATGAACTCAATTGTATGCTGTTGCCTGCTATGTAGCACTCCTATAGCCCATCAACTAGATGCCTTCAGGTCACCAGTGATTGGTCCTGACTTCCTTCCGACCATCATCCCAACAGAGAATGAACTTTGACAAAACCAGACGAGCTCAGGAGTGACCAGAGGAGTTCCACAGTGTCATCAGCAGGCAACAATCCAACACTGCATGCAGCCTCCTGCTCTGAAAGACTGTTACAAGAGATAGAACCCGACATCATGGACCGGATGAACTCATCACCTTTATAGGGACTGGTCCATGCACTAAGGAATGATATCTCTCTCTTTGTGGGTGGGTGGATGTGTACATACATATATATATATATATATATATATATATATATGAGACAAGAGTGACGGTATATTGAAAAATATGGGTTCTGAGCATGACGTGAATGGTATGGAATAAGGGGTGGATACTGTCCTGGGTTCAGCAGTAGCAGTCATTTTTCTCCTTCTTAGAAGCTGGTGCAGTGCTGTGGTTTTGACTTTTGGCCTGGGAACAGCGCTGATAACACCAATGGTTTTAGTTGCTGTTCAGTAATGTTTACTCTGACCAAGGACTTTCTGAGTCTCATGCTTTGACAGGGAGAAGGGGAAGCCGGGAGGAAGCAGAGACAGGACACGTGACCCAAACTAACCAAAGAGGTATTCCATACCACAGCACATCATGCCCGGTATAGAAACTGGGGGCAGTTACCCAGAAGGGCTAGGTCGCTGCTCAGGTCAGGTTGGGTATTGGTCAGCGGGTGGTGAGTGGTTCTGTTCTCTCCCCTTGTTATTTCCCTTATCATTATTATTATTGGTGGTAGCAGTAGTGGTTTGTGTTATACCTTAGTTACTGGACTGTTCTTATCTCAACCCATGGGAGTTACATTCTTTCAATTCTCCCCATCCCTCCAGGAGCAGGGCAAGGAAGGGGGGGAGTGAGTGAGCGGCTGCTTGGTTCTGAGTTACTGGCTGACCTCAAACCATGACAACCTTGTTTGCTGACAATTTGAACATTCACAGTGATGATTCAGACATTCATCTGAACATCCTTCAGGAGGCAGAAAATCACAGGCGAGCACAGTTGCACAGAAGAGGGTTGCAAAAGCATCAGCCTGCAAAGGTGAGTCTCTGCCTGTCACACTTGTAGCAGCATATAATGGCACAGAGGTAATGGTGCTTAAAGTCATTTTGAGCTCTACAGCTAATGGGATTTGTCATAATACATTTCATCAGAAATTTCAGAATGTGATGCTGTTGTATTGACTGCATTTTAACCACTAAGGCCAAAGCAATGACTACAATACCACTGGTGAACCAGTTTCAATCAGCTGATCACAGGAAGCAAATTTCAGCATTTATTGGACATAATCCCGCTAGTTAATTTTAGCCATTAATTCCACACTCGCTATGCTACAAAGTGTGAAGTGTGTATTTCTTATTTTCAACAGACTGAAGATGTATGTTAGTGTATTTGGTTTATGTGGCAAGGTATTGGTAGTGGCGGGGGGTGTGCTACAAGAGTGGCTCCTCTGTGAAGCTGCCAGCAGCTTCCCCTACATTCGATATAGCCAACGCCATTTGATTCCACTAGCAAAGGCTGAACCCATCAGCGATGGTGGTAGTGTCTCTGGGATAACAGATTTAAGAAGGGGCAGAAAAGCACTACTATGAAACAGAACCCAGGAGAGGGTGAGTATATGTGAGAAAAAGGGCACTGCAGACACCAAGGTCAGCACAGAAAGAGGGCAAGAGGTGCTCCAAGTACCAGAGCAGAGATTCCCCTGCAGCCTGTGGTGGCAGGCTCCTGTGGCCCTGTGCAAGGGAAGCCTACGCTGGAGCAGGTTTGCTGGCAGGACTTTGTGACCCAGTGGGGACCCACACTGTAACAGTCTGTTCCTGAAGGGCTGCACCCTATGGAAGGGACCCGCACTTGCACAGTTCATGAAGAACTGCAGCCCGTGGGAAGGAGTCATGTTGGAGAAGTTCACATTGGAGAAGTTCATGGATGACTGTCTCCTGTGGCAGGGACTCCACGCTAGAGCAGGGGAAGGGTGTGAGAAGTCTTCCCCCTTAGGAAGAAGGAATAGCAGAGACAACGTGTGAATTGACCAGAACCATCATTCCCTGTCCTGCTGCACCACTGAGAGGGGAGGAGGTAGAGAAAATTAAGAGACAAGCCCAGGAAGAAGGGAGGCATGGTGTTTTTAATTTTGCTTTATTTCTTATTATCCTTCTCTGATTTGATTAGTAATAAATTAAACTAATTTCTCCCAGCCAAGCCTGTTTTGCCATGGTTGTAACTGGTGAATAACCTCTCCCTGTGCTTATCTAAACCCACAAGCCTTTCGGTATATTTTCTCTTCCCTGTTCAATTGCGTAGGAGAAGTGATAGAGCAGCTTTGGTGGGCACCTAGTGTCCAGCCAGGATCAACTCACCACAGTAAGTCAAATATTCACTGAGGTACTAATTCATTATGGTTTTTAAACCACTGGATTTCTTCATGACTCACCCATTTTATTTCCTGTTAATTTTGATTATTCAATTCATATTATATTATTTTTAATACACTGGAAGAATACCAGAGGTTTTTTATGGATTACCTGTTTTCTCAGGCATTGTAGCGCTTACTTCTGTGAGGAAAAACTGTGATGAACAAATAAAAATACTCATATCAGTAAGCCTGAAGTTTTATACCTCTCACGGAGTTCCAAAATCATTTTCGGTGTACAGTGAGAAGCATTTACAATGAAATGAGAGAATTTAAAAACGCAGTCTAAAGTGCTATAAAATAGGTCTCCTTCATTAAACAACATAAAGGACCTAAAATACAAAACAATTTTGAGAGCTCAGACTCCTGTTATGAAAGAGGCATGACAGGATGAGGAAAGAGAGACTGCCTGAAACACAGAAACATGTAACCTGTCCTATAGAACAGGTGAAGGGACATTGATTTTCACTTCCATGTGACCTAACTTATATGCAGTCTGAGACTGGCACCACTACTTAAGCACTACCAAAACATAACAGTAGTTTTATCACAAAATCATGTCTGGCTGGCTGCAGGCTACACTATTAAAGGGAATAAGAGGTGGTAGAAAAATAGATACTTCTCAATCATATATCCATGTTTACTTCTTAAAAACAGCAATTCTTTTCCAATAATTTGGAAAGATTTTTTGTTTCATTTTCAGATTGCGTTAACTGAGTGTCATTTCATTTTGTAAAAAAAACATTGAAGGACAAATGCCAGTTTCCATCTTGCTCCCATCACATGCATTAGTACAAGCAAAATTCAATTCCTTTATAGCTCAGAATATGTGGATCACTGAAAAATACTTAAAATGTCTGCATCACCAAACTGTTTAACTGGAAGTTAACAATCCAGTGAGCAAGGGATTTTCCACTAACAGCTTTTACCTGCAATGTCTGATTAACATTTTTGAGAAATCTATGCAATAAAGTTAGCGATTCTAAACAACTGAAATTGTTATGTGCCTGATATCCGAGATGTATCTAACCTTTTTTAGTGTACAATGAGCAGTTACCTCTATTTTTTTCAATTACAGTGCTTCCTTTAATCTATTTTCTCTAGCACGAAGATATGCTGTCTGTTCTTTAAGTGCTTCAAATCAATTAATTTAGCAAATCCTTGTTTTCATATGACTATCTAAAATTCTTATAGGAAATACTGTATTTTGGCACCATAAAAATCATGTGTTCCTAAGATTAAGCAAATGTTACGAGATAGCTTTAGTGCAACCGTAGCTTTAATGCTCACCACCCCACTTGAGCAGAAGCAAAAGGACTGTTATGTCTAAGTTCTCTTCTAAGATATACAGTTTTTCATTTAAGAAAACTTTTTTCTTCTATCCCAAGTTTAAAAAGATGTGTGTTGGTTAGATACCAGAATTTTATGAACATGAAGTAGAATAAAAAAAAAGTATAAGAAGAAAGAATGTGGTAAGGTAGAAGAGATACTTTAGATGAAGGAATAGACAGATGTCGAACAGTACCCTTGGCTTCTTAATTATGCAACGATACAGATGAGGGCATATTCA